CCCTTATTGCTAGACGACTTTTTTTGCCAGTTACGAATACGATAATTAGGCGATCCTGTTGCGATGCGATTATAATTTTTTTGTATGAAAAACATTATGATAGTACAGCAGGCAGGTGATGTAGAAAACTTACGTCATGGTCATTAACCAAAGGGCTTAGGTTGTCCCGCATTTTAGAGCACACAGACTCGAACTCAGGACAGATGCGAATCTGGAAAATGTAATCTTAAGAATGTCGTTGTCGTATAATTGTCCATTGACATAACCGAATACACAACTCGCTACTCCAAAGCGTATCGCTTTGGGAGTGCATTTGATATTATGTTTATATAATTTATGTCTTAGCCGTCGTCTAAACGTCGTTTTTAAAGTGACTTTAACATATTTCTTATATGCTTGCATCCATCCTTAAAAACTACAGAGTATCATATACATATAATTGTGTCTCATCGATCGGTGTCCTCGTTATTTGACCTGTAAATGATTACATACTTTTAAAAACAAAACTCACATTTTTGTATCGCTCAAAGTTTATCTCATAGAATGATATTCGTTTTATAACGATATAGGTACGGAGAATGAATTAATTGTTGATGAATCATTTAAATATTTGGAAATTTGATTATTAAATGTTTATCAATATTTTTTTTATAATCAATTAATTTACTTTGTTTTTATATTTAAATGTGAACCAAACAATCGAAATAAAATTTTGGTAATTATCCCTCTACGAGATCGCCGTTTTTTAACCGTACTTTTTTCAACTATTAGATATTTGCATCTCGTATACGTTTCTATTTAATATGTAGTCATAACATGTACAAAAATATTAAATAATAAATTAATACCAATTTGAAACGGAACTGCCAAGTTAAATTGTTTGGAATTTCATCCAATTCTCGCAATCACTATATAGTCGTGTACTCGATAGTTAAATATACTTATAGCTTCTTCTGTGGAAACAAACAGGCATGCTTTGTTACATTTATTTTCTAGAGCTTATGCAACCGCAAGCCTTAATTTGTTTCAATTTGTGCGGAGAGGGTCCCAAAGGCGGTGAGTTGATTAAGTAAGCTTAGTTGTGGCGTTTGTAAGATGGGTTCTGTTGTAGTCACAATTCAGTGATTAGTTTATGTGTTCAGGACTGACACTTTACATAGAATTATGTGGTAATGTTTTTCAATTTAATTAATAATGTTTTTTATTCAATTAAATAAGCTAATTAAAAAAGCAACAAGTATCTATACAAAATGGTCCAGAACTCAAAGTTGTAGCACTGAAGTCCTGTCATATACAGCGTGTCGTTACCATCGCGACAATAAATGAACACACGTCTAACGCTACTTGCCAATAATCATAAAAAAATTTTAACACTAAACAAAATCCATAATTAAAAAAAAATATTTTTCAAACAAACTAATTAAGTAAAAAAGAAACAAAATTTGTAACATCCTATACAACTCGCGCCACAGCGTCGTATTACAAGCCTCTCCTTCTAACAGTATTTTTTGTCTCTTAAATTCATTCAACCCATTCATTTTATTTATTTATTTATTTATTTATTTATTGTACACAAAACACAGGATACAAAAAAAATTATGAAAATCAAAATAATGTACAAAAGGTAAGCTTAACTCAATATGTGAGTTCTCTGCCAGCTAACCTGGTGAGAAAATAGGTGATTGAAGGTAGCTGGAAATGTGTACAGTGCACCCAGATATTCCTAATTTACCCTACATAAATATATATATATATATATATATATATATATATATATATATATATATATATATATATATATATATATACATACATAATATACATACACATATATATACAAATATATACATAAATATATTTATAAGTAAATACATATATACGTAACATACATATAATATATAGTAAATAAAGATAGAAGATAATAACAAGAAATATATAGACACGAATTAAAATACGTTATGCGGATAAATAGAATTCCTTAGCTCTATTCTTGAAGACATCCGATGAGGGGCTGGCACGGACATTGTACGGTAACAAATTCCAAAGACGCACCGCGTGCACTGTAAAAGAGCCGCCAAAACAGGAAAAGGAGTGCGAGGGTAATTTTAAAAGAAGGGATCTGATCTCACGACAGGGTTGACCACGCGGCACCATGTACTCAAAACGCTCTCGGAGGTACTGAGGAGCCGCAGGATTATTAAGAATGGAGTAAAGTGTGGATACCACATGCAAATCACGACGGCATTCATATGCTTTGTGACCTTTACAAATGAACTTTACGTTACAGTTTTATAGGTAAGGGTGTTCTAAAATTCTTTGTTTTGGAAAATTTAATAACTCTGTAAATATTGATGTTTAAAGAATGTAAATGTTTAATACAATTTTAAAAAGTTATCCCCTATATGTGTGTGTTCATTTATTGTCGCGATTGTAAAGGCGCGCTGTATAATTTGCATAGAGAACGCGCTTAAGATAAGTACACAACACATTGTCACATTCACAACTATTTAAAACATTTGAAACAAAACATTTTTTTAAACATTGATGTACTATGGACACTACCTATGTTTTGTATTTTCTCATACGACAATGATGTCGGAATTTAAATTTACAATTCCAAATAAATGAACAAACTATCTGCCCAGAGAAAGAGATAAAGTGGATCACATAAACCATCCGACCACCATTAACCACTAGTTGAACGCTTCACTGTGGCTTTTGTTTTCGTTTCCGTTGTGACTTCCAAATTAAAAGTATGTCAAAGTCAAAGTCAAATATTTTTATTCAATATAGAAGCATACACTCACTTATTGATAGTCAAAAAACTCTACCACCGGTTCGGAAGGAAAGTCACTGACCTGAGAAGGACCGGCGTAAGAAACTCAGCGGGACATTTTTTAAACTTTTTTTTAACTTGACAAAAAAATTACACATATGTGTACAATTTATTAAATTGAGCCTGGAGCGATCAATTCATTTCCAGAGTGTGTTATCATTCAAATAATCACTAATACTATAATAGCCATTAACACACAAACGTTCCTTTACAAGTTTTTTGAATTTAGCAGCGGATTAATTTTGAACGTTTCCTGGGATTTTGTTGTAAAAGCGTATACATTGTCCCATAAAAGATTTACTTAATCTACGCAATCTAATTGAGGGTAGAATATGCAAAAGCCTCTCCTATTCTTTAGCTTATATTTTTATTTTATACATCAACTTACAACTATCATTACAGGCTATAGCTAACGCGATAGTGCCGTTTGAATATAGTTTAAGATAAACACATAACTATAACTAAAACTGAACACTGAGAACATAGACAGCAATTAAACAAATCTAATCTATCAATCAATCTCTTAATATCAAGTCAATAATAACATCAGTAAGTTTTTGAATTTTATTGACACAAACGTATGGGGTCTAAATTTTTGTATATAAAGATATATTGACATTGAATTGGCGTGCATCAGCGCCGAGACTTATGTCTTAGCTACAACCCCAAATATAGCCTTTTAAAATATTCTGAAAGAAAACCTCGCATTTCAAATACACGGCGTGCCTGCCGTGTTTGGAGACAGATGGTATTATCGAAGACGCTCACGATTGACGCCAGTGTGGCTTGCGAGCTGCTAATACTAACTTTGTTCGACGCAAATTCGCAGTCGCGTCCGATTGATGACGGACTAAATCGAAATCGTTCGGATCTATTGTCCGGGATGTGACCCTGAAGCCCGGGGCTTTGGCTCGTCCGACCTTGGCCCGGCGTCGGGTGGGGGCTTAAGCGCCCCGTCGCCTCGACGCCTCTCCGGACAGGGCCCCCTTTTATCTACGTCCATAAGTAATGGAATTCCTCCGCTGAAATTGAAATCTATTTATTATTTGTTGTGGAGCTGGCGCTATAAATTGTTCGAAAGACTGAAATAGGTACATATAAGTATTACATTGGTGAGAGGGAGGTGCGTTGATTGAGCGCCAGCCAATATTTTTTAAAGAAGGGACGTTCCTATGATCTAAAATTATTTTCACCTCTGTTACAAAAGTTGTCCAAAAACATATGTCGATATATCGTATATATCGACATATGTTTTTGGATTGTACGTGGCATATGGCATTGTTACATTTATAGCTACAGTTATATTTACTAAGCTATCTATATACTGTTCATGCAAATCATTGAAACGAATACAATACTTTGAACGATTACAATAATTTTAACTTTTAATTGCCAATTACTTTGATTTTTATACAACTTAATCGATTTGGATTATTGGAACTAAAAATAAATACATTTACTATGAATTTGTGTTCATATATTCATGGCCTTCGCTGCGTTTATCACCTCTACCATTATATTGAACTAAACGTTATAATACCTAACATAATGAGTCAATTGATCACTATACATATTTTCATATTTCTGAATGTTATACTTTTCCAATTAAACTAATCAAGTAAGGTAAGGACTTTATTTTTCATGCTAAGGATCAATCCTTACCAAAAAGTCATAGATTTCTTCCATCACTTTCATTATAAGAGACTTCTGAAACAATGCAAGCTGAAATATGAAGCTTGTATTTTCTTTGCTTTTGCATTAATAAACATTATCAGTACCCAAGTTGTTTAGGAGTCCATTAGAAGCATAAAGGGCTTCGCAACGGGGTTCCGACAATTCCCGTAACGATCTGAAAATCCACCACCCCACTTGTTCAAGTTGAAGATTCACACATGTGGGGTTATGTGGGGTTCTTACCCACTAAATTGCCCTTTCTGACCGCTTTCCTGACGTCACCCCGCCTTGGGAACAAACACCCAGATCGGAAACCATTATCTGTTGGTCACACAAGTACTTGTCCCGTGTGGGAATCGAACCGGTGGCGCCGAAGCCGAAGTTTCGTTATTTCTACTTTCTCTACTTTCATTGAGAATATCTACCAAACTAAACCATGTGGGCCGGACACCAATTCCACTGTAATTTTTTTTTCTTTCTTTTTCTAGACATGGCGCGTTTTGTGATCATCACACCGGAGATGGGGGAGGCCGTTCTGCAGCACCTGAGGGAGAGTTTCTTTGCAGATGAGCCCCTGAACAAGGCGGTGTCTCTGTGCGAGCGGGGGCAGCCGCATGCCGCTCTGGAGCGTCTCTGCACGGCCACCATGGCCGACGGGCTTTCCGTTGCCGCGATGGACGGTGACACGGTGAGCGGAAAATGCGACCTAGCGACCCGCCCCGACTTCGCACGGGTGCAATGCTGAATGTTTGTTTTCGACATCTCATTAGAGACCTCTAAAATGATTAGTTTCTCTATAATATTACGCATGATTTATACATATAAACTTTCCTATTGAATTTATTAAAGGAAACCGCATCAAAATCCGTTGCGTAGTTTTAAAGATCTAAGTGTAAATAGGGACAGATAGACAGCGGGACGACTTTATTTTATACTACGTATAAAATATTCTCCCATTTAAAAGAAACATTCCAACGCCCAGAAACTCAACCGTGATAGCTCAGTGTACGGGTGCGTTTGTAATTCAATATACTCGAGCAACTTGACTTCAAATCTCGCTACACCAATGAAACTGTCGATTGCAATTTTGAGTGTTGTGACTTATCACGACAGTGTGTGACTTATCATGTGCTCAGCGGTGAAGGAAAACATCGTGAGGTAACATGCATATTTTGGAAATAATAATAAAAAAAGATATTGTAAAGTTATGTGAAGTCCGCCAATTCGGTGGACTAATCGCTAATACCCTCTATACTATTACTGTACTTTAATTTACTTAATTATAACCGCGATATCGCTTCTGCGGGCAACAACTTTAGCTATTGCGGGTAGGTTGTCCGTTAAAGTACAATCGCCTTGCAGAACACTGGCATGAATTGGAAGTGTTTTACGCTTGATTTCTGCGCTCCGTAAGGTGTGTGTGGTAATAAGGGCTCATTTTTAAAGGTTGGCAATGCATCTACAACGTCAAGGATACTGTAGATGTCCATTGGTAACGGTAATCGCTTAAAATCTGGAACATCTGCTGCTGGTAATTTTATACAATAGTGACACGCCCGTCCATTTTAAACAAATATTTTTAATCGATAGAGAAACATAACTAAAACCATAAATAAGAAATAGAAACTCTCGCCGACATTTAGACTTTGAGAAAAATATGCGTGTCGCTAATGTAAAAAATTACTAGAAACGGCTTAAGGGTCCAAGTCTACAATCATGAGTATTATAAAAAAATAAAATAAATCAACATAAGAACAGATTCAAACAAAACAGAAGGTATTCGAAGTCAAGTTTTTCTCTCTAAATGAATTCTTCAATCCTTCTACATCTATCAATCGAAGAAACAGAAGGAACTGCCAAAACCACGCTCTTGCCCAATAGTTCTATGCATATATTAAAACTGAAATCAAAAATTGCGATAAAGAGGGGGTTAAACAAAACAATTGTTAGTAAGCTAAACAAACATTAATCAAAGAGGAATTCGTTTATACGAAGCAGTATACTTAAGGGTGAAAAAGTTGACACTACAACGCTATTCGGTACACCAAAGCTATACAATTTGACTGCCAGGTTATTATTGTCATGTCCTTAGCCTAATCGATCTCCAAGTAACAAGTTGTTGGCAAAATCACTGACGTATCAGTGGAGCCATAGTAGGGAAAAAAAAATTGTCTGCCCTACAAAAGAAGTGCAGAAGTAAGTCTCTTGCTAAACGAAGGAGTAATCATTTCCAGGTCCTCGGCGTGGCTCTGAACGGCATCTTGTGACCCGGGGACATCGAGCAGTCGATAGAGAAGATACAGCAGTCGTCAGACGAGAACTACAACAAGATCTTCACCATCTTATACACCGTGAGCCGCGATCTGGACCTCTTCAACGCTTACCGGGTGGACAGCATCCTGGAGTGCCGCATAATATCCGTGTCGGACAAAGCCAGGGGGAAGGGGCTAGCCAAGGAGCTGATGAAGCGCAGCATCGACATCGCAAAGGAGCACGGCTTCAAGGTTGGAAATGTTTTATCCTGATGCAAGTAAAGCTGCGATAGCGCAGTATATAATGTATACAGCGTGTCGTTACCATCGCGACAATAAATAAACACACATATAGGGGATAACTTTTTAAAGTTGTATTAAACATTTAAATTTTTTAAACATCAATATTTATAGAGTTATTAAATTTTCCAAAACAAAGAATTTTAGAACACCCTTACCTATAAAAGCGTAACGTAAAGTTCATTTGTAAAGGTCACAAAGCATATGAATGGGTTGAATGAATTTAAAAGAGACAAAACACACTGTTGGAAGGAGAGGCTTGGAATACGACGCTGTGGCGCGAGTTGTATAGGATGTTACCAATTTTGTTTCTTTTTTACTTAATTAGTTTGTTTGAAAAAAAAAATGTTTTTTAATTATGGATTTTCTTTAACGTTAATATTTTTTTATGATTATTGGCAAGTAGCGTTAGACGTGTGTTCATTTATTGTCGCGATAGTAACGACACGCTGTATACCTAATTCAGTATATAAATGAAACGGTCTTTCTTCGTAAACAGAAAAATGAGGTATATAACTAATTACTTTTATATTAATGTAAGTTAAGGATAAGAATATTAAATATCAATGTGTCAATAATGACAAGTAAGTCTGCGAATACAGCTTACATTTGCACGGTGGTAGGGCCACGCAGCAGCCTCGGCTGTTGCACGAATGAGCAGACCCGTCCGGGTAAGTACCACGACCTCACAGAAGACCAGCGTAAAGTAGAAGTATGACAAATACTTTCGCGTTTCGTCTGGTGAGTGAGGTAGCCGGAGCCCAATTTTCAAAAGGTTGTCAACGCATCTGCAACCCTCGGGTGTAGCAGATGTCCATGGGCGGCGGTATTTAACATCGGGTGAACCGTCTGCTCATTTGACAACTTTTCGCATAAAAAAAATACATATCTTCTATCTTCTATATATATAAAAATGAATTGCTGTTCGTTAGTCTCGCTAAAACTCGAGAACGGCTGGACCGATTTGGCTAATTTTGGTTTTGAAAAATATGTGGCAGTCCAGGGAGGGTGTAAACGATGAGAAATTATGGAAAAATTGGATGGAAAATAAAAATAGCAACAATTTTATTTTCCCATACAAACTGCACCTGTCAACTGTGCCTATGTAACCTGTCAAACACTTTATGCGCAACTATATGCAATTCCTCTAGAAATAATTCATATGGCATAACAACGTTTGCCGAGTCAACTAGTCATCTTATACATAAAAATGGATTGCTGTTCGTTAGTCTCGCTAAAACTCGAGAACGGCTCGACCGATTTAGCTAATTTTGGTTTTGAAATATTAGTGGCACTCCAGGGAAGGTTTAAACGAATAGAAGTTATTGAAAAATTGCATGGGAAATCGAATTAGCAACAATTTTATTTTCCCATACAAACTGTACCTGTCAACTATGTCTGTGTAACCTGTCAAACACTTTATGCGTGCGTTCCGATTCCTCTAGAAGAAATTTATATGGCAAATCAACGTTTGCCGAGTCAGCTAGTATGTAATAATATACAACTTATTGGTACTCAAAGACAATGTAACTTTTAACAGCGAATCATAAATTAGAATCGCGTAATTAGTTTCCGTATAAAAAAGTAAAGTAACAGCCTATACATTTCCCACTGCTGGGCAAAGGCCTCCTCTATACAGAGGGTATCAGGGCATAGTCCACCACGCGGCCCCACTGCGGATTGGCGGACTTCACATATTTTCGAAATATATTTTTTTTGTTCTTATTTCGAAAATGTGCAGGTTTCCTCACGATGTTTTCCTTCACCGCGGAGCACGTGATAAGTCAGCACTTAAAGTTAAAAACTTCATTGGTGCCGGCACCGGGGATCGAACTCAGGTTGCTCGAGTATATTGAATTAAAGGCGAGCGCCCGGACACTGAGCTATCACGGCTCTAGAAATAATGATAACAACATAAGTATGAAAAAAAAAGATAGGTAGGTATAACGATTGCACGTATATCAAGCCTTCACTATTCTAAAGGATTTTTGAAGTAAAACTTCTTTAGGCGCGACTAGGGAGTCTCGGATTTTTTAATATATGACATATACTTATGACATTACTAAATATTTAATCATTTCAGTGATAAATGCCGTCAACGCCAAAGAAGTTTTACTTCAATCGCTCGTAAAGGTTATACGCACACACTTTTTTTTCATAACTTCGCTTTTTTATCACAAACAATATTTTTTTAAATAAAGTTTAAACTTTTTACTATCGATTAAAATTTACTTAAGCTTTTAATTTACGTTGAATTGTGGTAGGGTGTTTGCCACTTTCGGATTTAAAAAAGTTTTTGTAATCTTTTGTACAGAATTCATACATTTTCATCATCAAAATTCTTCATTTCTGTTTGTACGGTTGTTAAAAACATTTCATTGCTGCATTTTAAATTTGTGAAAATGTTAAAACTTTCCTTATGTTGTGACGACTGTCAAAGCATATGGCTACTAATATAATGTAGTATCACTAGACATACTTTCGTCTTTTTGTCGTGTTTGACCGTGAATAAATTTTTCTTCTTCTATTTTTAACCGACTTCAAAGTGAGGAGGTTCTCAATTCGACTGTATTTTTTTTTATGTTTGTTACTTCAGATCTTTCGACTGAGTGGAGCTGATTTTGATGATACTTCTTTTATTTGAAAGCTGGTGCTTCCCATGTGGCCCCATAATAATTTCGTTGGTATTGGATCTATATGAAAATCAAAATCAAATTATGAAATGAACACGGAGAGATATTTGAAGTCGGTTTTGTTTTTCGTTAATAAAAATAGACTTGTTAAACGCTGCGGTCATGACATACGTCATCTTAATTATTAAACATTGAATGTTCCAGCTGTTCAAGGTGGACGCGACCGGCGCGTATTCGCAGCGCATCTGCAGCGGCCTAGGGCTCCGCACGCTGGCTCGGTGCGCTACGCGGAGTACTGCGATGAGGACGGGGTGCCGGTCTTCAACGTGCCGCCGCCCCACGACGCGCTCGCCGTAATGGCGCTTGAACTGCCCTGAACACACGCCTCGGCCACCCGCGATGTTTTTTTTTTAATGTTTTACGGCATCAGCCAGCACGTGCCCCTTTTAACCGGACAAAGGAGGTCGATTTTCCAAACTTTTTATCTTTAAATTTATTTTTAACACAAAAATCTCTGCAGTTGTCTTTAGGTTTATATTAATTTGGTAATATTGTTTTTTTGAGTTACCTGATATGGTTTTCTTTAATTTATTTATAACAATTTAATTGTATTATATCAGATTGATTCTTACCTCTCACGTAAATTTTTTTACCGGAAGAATTGTCAATATATTCAACTGTTTATGGGGAAATTTTGTGAAACGGTATTAAAATTATATGTTTAGTTTAAAATTATATGTTTAGTTAGATTATTGGAAAAAGAAAACAACGAAGTTTAGTTAAATATACTTTTTTGATATTTAATTACAAATAAAAAATGTATTTACAAAAAATCGTTGCCTTTGCTGTTCAGATAAAAAAGACATGACATGCTTTACGATTCATGAAACATGTTTCAACGGCGAGTGCCGCCTTTAAATCCTATGTAATCGTGACGTCAGCATTTATGATTATACTCACAATTTAGATAAAGAAAAAGAAATTATAAGCACAACTAGTTTAAGTTACTACATATTTCTTTTGCAACTACCTCAAGGTGGTCTACCTTCAACCCATCAAGTTAACGTAAAAAGCTATATTCTTCGCGTTAATTTTTTTTATCTGGTAACGAAGTAAACCTTGGAAGTGACTGAGTTTCTAATAGCATCAGAATCGTTATATTGTAACAAATGAAGTGATAAATATCACGCGCAAATCAGATATAATATTTAACAGAAACAGTATAAAGCATTATTCTATTCAACATAAAAATTAACGCAAATCGTTCTGTCTTCACATGATGAAATTCTTTATTTAGATATCCCTTGCTTGAGATCCTTTGCTTACATTAAATACAGCTCGGCCGTCATGTTTATCTGACACTGCCTAATAACACTGTAAATATTGTTCTTTGTGAAACTTTTTCCTTTATAAATCTTTCTGAATTACTATGCATAAATTTTCACTACTCTGAATCAGAATCATTAGCACAACTAAATATATGTTTAAAAATGTTTAAATATATTATATGAGGCTCTAAGAAAGTTTGTATTTATATAATTTTCAGTGCAAATCTTCACCTTTTTAGTGTGATATGACATTTATTTTTGTTGCTTATATCTATTTTGTATAGAAGAACGAATATTTTGATAACAGAGTTTATACAAATTAATTTAAACATAGGTACATCATATTTTTATCCTCCATTCAATCACACTTTTACGGACAGTGGAAAATTTTTGACCGAAAAAACATTATAATTAAATACTCGGCTCTTCACACAGACCGATCATCTACTGAGCCCGCAAACAAAATTATATTACTTAAATGGTTAACAGTTATGGATGTTTCGTAAGCGTATTATTTCAAACATGATATACAAAATATATGCGAAGAAAAAATATTTACAATATTAAATACTAACTAATTACATGTTTACAAACCATGGCATGCAAGAATGCTGGTTAAATCACCAAAATAATGCTTAACCTTTAAGGGAGAAAAGAAGCAGCCCTCTTGTCACCACACGCAGCTTAAATCTAGGACGTAAATTTTGATCTGCAACAAAATAGATTTAGATAACATGTAATTTAGTTATTATTGTAATATTATAATATTTTTGTTCATAATAGAAATAAATTTATAATTGTTTGTAATTGTATTTAAAATATATGTGTATCGTTTGATGATAGATCAAACAATATTAATAAAGTAAATTATACACTATCGAATATCTTCTATGTACTCTATACAAAGTATTCAATAAAATAACGTTGTTTTGTAATTGTTTACACCCTTCTTAGATGGTAGATGTAGTTATATGTACTCTGCATTCAATGTAAACGTTATCGCTGAAATACATAAATTTACTGTATGTTAGGAACCTACAATTGTATTATGTAGTGTTGTTGACATTGTAATACAAACTATTAAATTTTACTTCTTTTTTTTCCCAATTTTAATTTCCCAAAGATTCCGCAAAAACAACTGTCAAATAAAGTGTTAAAAGTTCCTAAAATATTTTACAATCATTGCTGAAATTTTTTAAAACTACACTTAGCCCTTAAATCACTAACCTCACTTTTATCAGTCATCCAAAGTTTTAATTTAAAGATGAAGCTAGAATATTATTATATTCTATACATTGAATTATTATTGCCTTGATGTCAAGGAATATTTATGTAAATAAAGCAAACATAGACAATAACCGAACGATTATTAAAAAACAATATGATTATACGATACGATTATAAAACGGACAAGACGAAACAAATCGTTATGAGTATAATACATTCCGCATTTAGTAAACAACCCAATTGAAAATGTTGTTCCGTCTATACGATTTTTTCAATCGTAAAGCGTAAAATCTAACTTTGATTATAATTCCCTTTTCGAAAAGAAAACAAATTCAATTTGCCAATTTTTAGAAGCAAATAAGAAAATTTCTTCTAAAAGAGTTTTATTTTTAGTATTACGTTTTATAAGACATTTTTTAATGTGATAAGGTTGCAATCGAGCTGGCTGTTCACCTGATGTTAAGTGATAACCGCCACCCATTGACTTTTACAACATCCATAAGGCTGCTAATGGATTGTTCTTTGAGTAAAGTGGGCCGCGCTCCCTCACTCACCAGACGAAACGCAGACATTCAATAAAATACCTTGATCTCTGAATTTGTATTCTATTATATTTATAATTCTGAGTCAAAATAAAATACAGACCACAAACAAAGTTCGGTGAAACTGGCCCTTATAATAACGATAAGATTAAACTTGAGGATTATAAGTTGTTTGTGTCACAGGGAACTCGGTGAAACTGGTCCTTACAATAACGATTAGATTAAGTTTGAGAGTTGTTGTCAAACCGTGTTAACTAGATGCGTAGCACTGCTACGGAATGTCTACGACATGTTTATAATGTTTGTATCGGCCATATTAAATTCGAGAAATCTTGTATTTAATATGGCCGAAGCCAGCGTAATATAATAGTATACATGTAGACTTTGATTCTCAAGACGAAACCTCGATAGCGGATTTATGCTAAAACCGTCATCATCAAGATCTTAGACGTTAATACTTTACATGTATTAATTTCAGTTGCGACTACAACACGTTGCGTAGCAATCCTGATGCTTGCCTAGTACTTAAAGAATTGAAAGAATTCTTCTCAAGTTAGTTTATTGAAATTCTTTATATCAAATCGAAAAATAAAAGAGTTAACTCCTTAAATATACCTTTACCAATTGTGAAACTTATCACGGCTCGGAATTTTATTGATAGTCTTTCAGCGTTGAGGGAACATAATTATACACTTTTACAAAAGTGATATTATAAATCAATTTGAGTAGTGAATGCCCGTAGGTGGAATCGCAAAAATATATTTATAAAAAAAAATCAATCATGTTTCGGGCAATGGACACTGTAGTATAATCAAAATTAAAACAAAGTGGCAATTTTGTTTCCCAATAACACTTTAAAATAGATAATCTAAGACGTTAAAATTTTATTGCGCACGTAACAGTTTGACTGTGCGGGTGATGCAAATACACAGTTTTTTTTTTATTTTAGAAGATGGTAAGCGGGCTGGCAGTTCAACTGTTTTAAAGGGGTAACCGCCGCCCATTTACATTTGCAACAGCCATGGACTTGCAGATGCGTCGCCACCTTTTAATAAACTGGGTTCCAGCCATCTCACTTAACGAACTAAACGCAAAACTATAATCACTTCCACTTCACGCCGGTCTTCTGTGAGGTCGTGGTACCTACCCGGACGGACCTACCCATTCGTCCAACAGCAAGTACTGTTTCGTGGCCTCACCTCAATTGACGTTGTAATACATAATTTTAAGTACTTTGATCGTTGACGAATTCTTTGAGTCGTGATGGTGATTTGATGGCTCCGTGGCGCAGTTGCTAAGGTATGTCCTGGGTTTGTCCACTGAAATTTATTTTTGCGAAACGTCCTTACGAACGCACTTAAAATGTTATCCTAAAATAAGGGCAATTTTTTGTTGACGTTCAATAAGAGCTTAAGTTAGGCCTATATTGAATAAATATACTTTGAATTTGACTTTGAATCTACTACTAAAAAAAAAGCAAACTAACTGTAGTCTTACGTATAGCGTAAGACAAGTATAGAGCGAAATAAAGAACGTCTTCCACGCTTGGCGAGGGATCTTCGTTTGCAGCTAGCGCTGTTTCCGCACGGATCCACCCGCAACGGCACGTCTTCAGTTAAGGTATCAATGCCAGAGAATTCTCTTGCCAGATTTGTGTATACAGAGGCATACAGCATACTACATACTCTTTGTATCTTAAGCATGTGATCTTTACTGCTAAGGTATAAAAATATATGTCCATGGTTTTTTAGCTCCAGGATTTCAAGACTTACAGTGTTTAAAATAAGATGAATTTTGGCAATTTCAGTAAAATATACAATTTGTAACGTGGCCCAGGAGTTTCAATGCAAAGTTATCATACAAGATTGTACATATTTATTACAATCTTATAAATACATAAATATTTCACACGAGTACAAACGTCATGTTGCAGTTATAATATTTTTACATAATCTTATTTAGAAAGTATTCTGTGATTCTGTGTCAGATACACGTTTTACTTTATTCGATTATAAAAGTGTAAAAATACGAATCCATTACAGGCCCCTTTGGTTAATATTAATTATTTCCTTATACAGCGTGTCTTTACAAGCGCGACAATAAATGAACACACACCTAACGCTGCTTGCCAATAATCATAAAAAAATATAAACGTTCAACAAATCCATAACAAAAAAAAATATTTTTCAATCAAACTAATTAAATAAAAAAGAAACAAAATTTGTAACACCTATATAACTACAACTGATTGATTCAT